GAGATACGTTGCCAACAATCTAAATGTTCGGCCGAAAAATGCCAAAGTTTCCTGACTCTTTCCAAGATCTTTTCTTCCTCGCAGAACTGAGATCCATCGGAGGAGCTTGAATTTCTAAGACAACGCCAATTCTAAGAGCTATTAGTTCTAAATTTTCGTGTTAGATCCAATGCCAGACGAATCGCAAGCCACCTGTGTTTCCATGTCAGAATTTGAACAGTATATTGGACAGAAGCAAGCTTAGATTTGATTCGTCGGAGTGTACCAATTTGGAATTTATTGTGACACGAAATTAATTTGGGGTAAATGTGACGCGTGTGTTTTGAATCTTTAATGGTATTAGTTCTAATCTTTATTATCCATTTTTACCAAGACGTTTGCGAAAATTGTGTTAAAATTGTTGGAAAAAATGTAAAAATAAGATCAACTATTTGAGTCATACAAGCACTGTCCTTAAACATAAAGTATTTAGGGTATGAAACTCAATACAACAAGGTCTAGCGACTATCCTCCTAAGATACAACAGACCTTCCTTTTTCCTCTACAATGAATAATAGAAGGAACGTGAACAACAAATTTGTATGTAAAGCCTAGTAAAGAAAGGAAAGAAAATGGAAGCTGAGAAAAGAATTTTGTTGTTTTGGAATATATTTTTGGATTATGTTCGAAGTAACAATTTGTGGGTAAAAGAGTCATTTTCCTTCATCAATTATTGCATCAAATTGAAAACCATTACAAAACTGTTAGAGCAACTCGTGACCGGATTCCAAAAAAATTTCCAAAACATTATAAATCGAAAGATCTTTCTTCTTTTTTAAAAAATTCCTCTATATTTTATCAAAGGACAAAACTTTCTTTGGTTTTTTTGCCATTATATCTATTCATTGAATAAGTGGTGATCCAATAATCTTGCTCATGGATTTGTTGGGCTTAGTTTGAAGTTTTATTGAATCACCACATTCTAATATGATACAAGGTTTCAAACCAATTCATAGGGTTTTAACAAGGGAATTCCTATCAATAATAGAGAAAAGAAGAGTAAAGCTGCATTGCACACAAGAGAATAAATAAAAATAACAAATAAAAGAAAAAGAAGTAAGTAAATAGAAGATTCAAGAGGTCTGTAAGGATCAACATAAGGACGAACGACCACCGCCCGCAGCGGCTGCGTTGGCTTGCGCTCTTGTCCCCCCACGAAGGGATCGGAGTTCGAACCCCAGCGTAGTCGTTAGGGATTCTTAAGTGTGGCGCCGTGGTGGTGGGTCCTGCGCTAGCGTCACCCCAGGTTTACCCCTCCAGCTGTCGGCCGTGCGGGGGGTTCCTGGGTTATCAAAAAAAAAAAAAAACATAAGGACGAACGAGCCGATTTGATTTTTTGTCATTATAACCACAAACTAAAGCTTGCGTATTTTTACCAGTTCGTATCTTCAAGAGGAGTTACAAAAACCGTTACAAATCTAATTTCTTTTATGGTTGTCTTAGCTTCTATCAAAGCCGTTACAAAACCGTTGAAATATTTCAACGAAAATTCCCAACGCGGGCCTCTTTTCTTTTTAAGTATTTGGAAGAGAGAGAAGTATACAAATAAGTCGTCAATCGGTAACCAGCAAAACGTGGTTTTTTTTTTTTATAAGGGCGGCACTATTTCCACTTCCATTTTGCCTAAGACACTCATTTATTTAGTTAAACAAAAAAAATACCCTCCTCTCTCCCTCTCTCTCTCTCTGTCTTCAATTTATTATTTCTTTTTTTGTTAGACTAACCGACAAAATTGCCTTTATTTTTGTCATTTATTTTGTTAGTTTCACAATACGAAAACTCGATTATTCTCAACAAGATATCATCTTATCTTGCATTTTGTTATCACTTTGCCTAGAGAAGTTTGTTAATTTTAATATATGATCTCATATTTTTAATCAGAAAAGCTGCATAGACTATTATAAATTTCCATTTATGACGGCTATAAGGCATATGAACACATAATTAATTGCCTATTTTTTACCAAATAATTTGAGCGACATTTTATTTCAAAGTTGGAAATTAAAATTCAATCTATATATCTAGCCAATTTTGACCTTATAGTTGCTTTCTGTAATAAATTTGTGGAGTTTTAAAGTTAAACATTTTAATTTGTATTTCAATGGGGTTGAGAATCTTATTACAAATTCTTTACTTTTAAGCTAACATCAGATTATTATAAATGAAAGTTTTAAGCATAAACATATTTTTAAAGTTTCCCTTACCAAAAAAAAAACATATTTTAAAGTTTTGATCCACTTGCTATTAGATTGAATTTATAATCAATATTACTTACTTTCTTCACAGTAGGAGTAGAGCAACAAGAAGTTCCCTTTTTTTTTTCCTTTTGTGCTTATGTTTTCTTTTTTAATATTTAGATATGATCTAAACATAAACATATTTAACGTTTGATTATTTTTCCATATTTTGATCAATTTTTCTTTTCCGTTGTTGATCAAAATTGGCTAGATAATTAGATTGAATTTTAAGCTTCAACTTTGAAATATAGTCTTAAACTATATGATTAAAAATAGGCAAATAATTGTGTGCTTATAAGCTGTCGTATATATGTAACTTTGGTGATAAAAAATATGACACGAAATTAAATTTAATAACTTTCTCCTAGTAAAGTCAAATAATGCATGATAAGATGATATTCTGTCAAGTATAATGGAGCATTTGTATTGTGAAACTCAAAAGAGAGATGATAGAAATTAAGGCAGTTTTTTTTATTAGCTTGATAAAAAAAGAAATAATAAATTGAAGAGAGAGGAGGGTATTTCTGTCATTTAATTGAAAAAAAAGGAATGTCTTAGTCAAAATGGGAGTGGAGATAGCATTGCCTTTTGATAAGTGCATTGGAAGTTCTAAAACGTGTTATGAAAATATAATCAAGTCTTAAAACTTTCACAAAGTGTAATTAAGTCCCAAAATTTATCAAAAAAATGCAATTGAGTTCAAAAACTTTCAATAAGTGCAATTAAGTTCTAAAACTTGTCAAATTGGTTCAATCAAGTCCTTCCGTTGATTACACTTTTTGAAACCTTTAGAACTCAATTGCACTTTTGTGATAAATTTTCGAACTTTGCACTTTCGTGATAAATTTTTTGACTTATTTGTATTTTCGTAATAAGTTTTAGGATTTTCAATAAATATATATTTTTTTTTGTTTTTCCTCTCTCTTTCTCTTTTGGAAAGGGGGGAAAACGAAAAAGGCGAAAAAAAGGGAAAGAAGGCCAAAGAAAGAAACTAGCACAGGAAACGAGCCAGCGGGAATGAAAAAAGAGGGAGTGGCCCCAAGATGGGAAAGCGTACGGATCGTGTCTGAACTCGACACGTATCAAAGGGGTGATGTAAGGCCCCTACAGGCCCCATCGTCTCCCCCAGGGGGCGTACCGTCTCGGACGACGTGCATGCATGTCAGCACAGACATCATTAGCCAGCAGCAACAGTGTCCTTCAGGCTCTCCCTGGGTACCTCGGGGCTACATTCCACGACACCGTTCTGCTGCCGCCGCTGCTGCTGCTGCTGCTTACGATAATCAAAGGGCCATCTGCAAAACCATTAAGTCGCGACAGCAAATCTGAGGTCGACACGCAAGAGAATCTTGGCCATTCCTCCCCTCCCTCTCTAACTTCGACAGTGCGGGGCATGTAACATGGCTTTCCTTATCGGTCTGGTCTGTCCCCAAAAGCCCGGAGAAGACGGCTGTTTCTTTCAACGGGACGCTCGGCTTGTGTGTATGTGTTGCGTGGATTGATGGAACAAGAAGATGCGACCCCCTCCCCCCTAAGGGATTAATCCCGCCCACGACAGACTTTGAGAATTAGGAGGATGCACTTCGGTCGCGATAAAGATTGATTCGCGTCACGATCATGCGTTGCTAACCATCATTAAAGTCTGGTATGAAGAGATCGAGGGATTCCTTTTTTTAACGAGGAATCGCTTTAACAAAACATCAATTTAAATAACATAATAAGTTACTTTTCTTAATCTGTAGGGTACTTCAATGTGTCGTCAACACTGTTTTCTTATCTCCTGATCAGCTCTCTCTTCCACACGAAGCCATCGGGTCGAGAGGGAATGATTCGATCACTGTAGTTCGTGTCTCTGATACGTCGAGGATTTAAGAGTGTTAATCCGCATCTCGATTGTGCTCATATGTATGCTTTTCTTTGCATGTTGATAGTTAGGGCAATGCCATTGATCAAGAGTGATATCATCACACACCACAATGAGAAAGCTTGTTTTCTTAGCATGATGGATAGTGTGATTTGGAGCCATTTGAAAATGCAAGAAGGGATGAGAAGGTATCATTCGAACCATTCTCTTCCTTTTCTTTTCCTCCTCCATCGTAAGATAATTTGACTCCCCATTCTCCCGGAAGTGCTGTACGAATTAAAACGCAACATCATCCTTTCAATTCATTTCACAAGAGAGAAAACCACGTTCCCTCCTGTTCCATGGGTCGTTAGGACCTACTTTTGCGAGGGAACTGCATTGCTGTTTTTTTTTCCCTGCCTTCTTCCGGTTGATTCAACGAAGTGAGTACCAAAGTTTAGGTAAACTTACTCAATTTCACGCATGTTCACATTTATTGCATATTCGAGAATTTTCCGAATCCAAAACCTCCTATTCTTATGTTTATAAGACGGTGGTCCTTAGTTAACTATTCGACACCTATTCAGATAGGGTTATTTACGATCCGTATAAGGGCGATGTGGACTACTCACGCCCGTCTATTTAACTCTTCTTGGACTATATATTAGTCACTATCCCTTTCATTGTGTACTGTCTACAGTAAGTGCATGCCCGCGCCTGTGGACATCAATCCTTGCCAGTTAATACTCATCGCCCTTAGAACAAGTACATCGATACTTATTACCAAAATAAAAACAGTTCACTGTTGGATTTGACTGTGAACGCAAGATTGTGCCAAGGGTTTCTACATACACTATTAAACAAAAAAAATGTCTCCTTCTCTCACTCTCTCCCTCTCTAAGTGGCTAACTGGCTTGTGTAGTGAGGTCTGTCTGGTACACAATAAGAAACCTAATACCTACGACCGGAATGAAAAGGGAGGAGTTTCCTTAAGAAGAAGGAGGGCGGGAGAGAGAGAAGCCATTTTATTGTGCTAAAAAAGATTCACAGCACAAGAAAGGGAATCCTATGTTAGTCCAAGAGAGGGAGAGATCAGAGAGCAAGAGGGGTTGGGTTGGGTTGGGTAATAGTTATACTTCCATTTTAAGAATTGGAATAACCGATCAGGAGGATTTTTTATTTTCGAAGTGAGAAAAAGGTAAGACAAAGCTATGGGAAGAGGGAGAGTGGAGCTGAAGAGGATCGAGAACAAGATAAATCGGCAAGTGACGTTCGCGAAGCGGAAGAACGGGCTGCTCAAGAAGGCGTACGAGCTCTCGGTGCTCTGCGAAGCCGAGGTCGGTCTCATCATCTTCTCCAGCCGCGGCAAGGTCCATGAATTCTGCAGCGGCTCAAGGTATCACATGTTTGTGTGTTGTTACTTGTTTTTATTGTTAATATTATGATGTGACCCAGAATTGAGATCATACTGTTTCATTAAATTCTCTCCTCACAATTCTTTTGAGAAACCCTCAAATCCTGGTGATCTGGATCTTGGTGCTGCCATAAGAAGATGGTGATTTATTGTTATTTTTTTTGGGATTTCAGTTTCTTGACTCTTTTTTGTGGTTTTACTGTTCACCGTGAAGAAAAGCTTTCGGCTACACAGTTTTCTTGCTTCCTTGGGTTTCTGATCATCTCCTTTTTTGAGAAGTGGGCTTGGCTCCACTTCCTCTTTCTTCTGGCCTTCAATACATCTGCAGCTACGCACGGTTTAACAAATCTTGTACGGAACTGAAACGCTCTCACAGAATTACAACAAGCGTCATGTTTCATACAGAAATTCTTGCGAAATCAATGCGTAAAAACACTGTGTTTTCTTGTCTAAATATTCCTCTGAGCGACGCATCGTCGTTCTAGGCCTTTGTTTTTGCCTCCACCTGCTATTCAGCGGTGCGATGTCCCAGAAAAAGCCATCTTCCTGTATAATCATGAACTGTCATGCAAAAGAACAAAGTTGTGCTTATATAGCTTGTGTTTCCAGCAATCACAATTCGCAGCTTGAGTGTAACCACAGGTGAAGAGCTTTTCATAATTTTTCTTGAAGCTTTTCCTTAGCTTTTTCCGAAAGATTTTATGGGGGAGAAACCCTGGACGCATCCTTACAGCAGTAACGTCTCTTGCGAACGGTTAAGCATGCAAGTGATCTTTCCTTTATCAAAACCGACACTGATTAATCAAATCTACCCATCATTTTGTTCTTTGTCATACTACTGTTTTGGTGATGTTTTTATGATACAATTTCTCGTGGCTTTTCGGTCATTCTTTTTCTATCTTTCGAGCTTTTGATGGTCAGCTTTAGTTTTCCTCCATGTACTATGTAATTCCCACTTTAAACAGAGGCTACTATACACACCTGATGGACCATAAGCTTTTCATTCCCACTTAGAAGTGATTATTAAGTGTGGAAGCTGGCTAGTAATAAAATTAGGTTTGCCTTTTTCTCTTTGTGGAAACAATAACAATTTTTAAGCTTAAACCGATAAGTTATTCAATGACCATTTTACATTTTAAACCATGATTATGTAGCATAAACATACACTTAAATGTATATGTGTTCCAAAGATAAACAAGTAATCTTAATAGCTTTCATTTCAACACAATTTGCTGTCCACCGACTTAAATCGGCAAACAGAAGCTTTCGAAGTCAGATGCTAGTTGTTTGAACTTCCTTTTATGGCAAATTTAGCTATTTACTCTTAGTCTATTGAGATAATTATGCTGATTAAGTGAGTTCCCTCAACTTTTTTCCTCAAAAATGAGGGTAAGGTGTCATCAATTGACAATTATGATAGGATCACGTAGGACGATGACGTGGTGATTTAGAATGGGGAAATTCAACTAAAAATTTGTATCTGATTAGTTTTTACATTTTACGACAGGGTTTCATGTTTTATAATATTATTATCTAGTTACTTATTTTCCTAGAATTTTTTAGTTTTAGATGATCCTGTTCTTCCGTAGTTTCAGAGTTTTTTGCTATGATTGAATATGAAAAATATCGACATATCGACTTTTTATTTCTTTGATATTTTTTGCTGGTTCTATCTCCTGGTTTCCATCTAGTTCTTGATCTTCATCTATAGAATTTTCTTCCTCTCGTTTAGTGATCTTAATCCTCAAACCTTAACGCAGTGTTCGTCTCATTTGGCCCTTTTCCTTGTTACCCTTTGGTTAGACCTCGCGATCTTTATCATATGTATCTCTCTTAAGCTCACTGCAAATATAAAAACAAGTCGCCCAATGGCCAATAGATGAAATGCATACTTATCTTTCATACAATGGTAAGTTTTCCTTAGTAGCAGACCTAACACAAACGTTTGCTAGTGTGAATAAATGTTGTTTAAAACTCTCTACTATGACATGCTATATATAAACACTTTTTGGGTTTGATTTTGATGATTGGATTGGATATATCACAACATATATAGTGACATATGGAGCGACCTATGTCATTATGTTTTCCCAGCCTCTCCTTACCTCTCAACCAAGCATAATATGCAGGTTGGTGAGGACTCAGACCATCTCACTTGATACTATAACTAGGTTTGATGGAGGTCTTATGTTGTAGATGCCAAATGTGTAATGTAATTTTCGCTATGCATGGAGAAAGTGTCGGGTATATCGCGGCTACTTAACATGATGATGTCAAAATCGGTAATAAGCCATGTTGTGACTTGTTAGTTCATGACTCCGACAACTTGGCGGATTCGTAGACAAAGATTGAGTGTTGAGTAGCAACTACTTAACTCGTTTCTCCTGTTAGAAAGAAGCTTCAACTGTTTATTGTTATTGAATCTTACAAGAGTTATTTCTAAAAAAAAGGAAAACTTTATGATTAAGAAATATTTTCTCTCCTTCCATTTGGTAAATATATTCATTTCAACTGATCTTGTGCGTGGATATGGTCAAAACATTGCGAATTAAATTTTAGATCTTACATAGTCAAGTAGACAGTGGTTGTTATTGTTTTTTTTTTTTTTTGCTAGAACAGTGGTTGTTGTTGTTGTTACATGTTAACATACGTAATCACTGGTTCTAACGTTTGCATGGTCAAAGCTTGGCTTTTGATTATGGGGCATGAAAAAATCGCCTTGTAGATTTGAAAGCCTGGAAACACATATTCTTCTTCCTAGATGATCTTCTTGAATGGATTCGTTATAGTACTTTGGTTTGGCTATTAGGGCTCACTGTTTCTCGAAAAAAGGATTATTTGGAAATCATTTTCCTAATATTGTTTATATCGCTTAGAAAAATCGGTCAGCAAAAAAATACTTTTATTATCAATAACAATTTATGCCTAAACATTTTCATTCATTATGAAAATAATTTTGATTCATTCATTTGTGTAAGTGATAGAAGCGATTAATTTAGAAAAGTGTTTAACAAATTATGAGTTTTCTATGTTCACTTTAATTAAAAGCTAATAAAATCAATCGCCTTTTCTCTTCTTTCTTTGTCCATGTGATTCTGAATGCCATAAAAGCCAAACCTCTTGCTCAATTGCAACTTCTGTGTTGTGCAAATGTTGCTTATCACTCGAAATCTAAGCCTTTAGAGTAAAGGCAATATCTAGAACTGATGATTTGGGTCCTTTTTTCTAGCATGGCTGCGACCATTGAGAAGTACCAAAGATGCAGTTACGATGTTCTGGAAATGGGAGCAACCCAAGATCCGAAAAAGATTCAGGTGTTACCTTGATGTCTTTACAATTTGCACCTTAGGGCTAGTTTCTTCTCTTCTCCAGCATGAAGACTATTTCGCTTTATATAATTGAATTGTGTTTGCGTGACATTTAGTAGAAAAGTCTCTTGATTAATTGGGTGTTGACATATCTCTCATGTATGTCCTTGATTTTCCAAGCAGAACTGTTACCGAGAATACCTTGAATTGAAGACGAGAGTTGAATCTCTACAACGTTCACAAAGGTATGCGCAACATCTATCTAGATGGGGAAATAGTTTATTTGCTCGTATTGCTAGGGATAATTTGACGTGTATTGAGGAAGTTTCCTTAAGACTACTTAAATGCTTGGCGTTTCTCAGTAATCTTCTAGGGGAAGACCTAGCGGAATTAAACATGGAGGATCTGGACCAGCTGGAGGATAAGCTGGACAAGTCACTAAGGCAAATCAGGTCTTCCAAGGTACTCCCAAAGATTATCGTGTTACTGCATTTTTATTTTGTGTTCTATGTTTTCCTTGATTATGTTTTCAAAAAGTCATGATGCTGTGAAAGCAATTTACTTCTTATAGCGCCATAAGATGTTTGCTGGTCTAGATATTTTAAAGTTTAGTTGCTCTGGAAAAGGAGAATGCTATCTGAACTTCAAGTTATATACTGTTAGCAGAGTAACTTCATGCTCGGTCAACTGGATGAACTTCGCAAAGAGGTAAAAGATATGAATATTTGTTATTCGGTGTGGCTGATTTACAACCGGTATTAACGTCCTATGTAATTGGCTTTAATTTTCTTGATTTACAGGAGGACATGTTACTTGAGACCCACAATGCCCTAAAAAGAAAGGTAACAGTAATACTAACATCTATTGAAGTGTACAAGTGTAAGAAGTTGTTACATTTTATTATATTCTAAGTTATGGCACGATCAATTCACTTCTATACATGCACATTGCAGTAAAAAAATGTCTTGATGATCTTCGCTCATCCGCCTTTTCTCGGCCACTAGATCTTTCTGTCTTCCGCCTCTTAAACAATCTGCTGACTGCATATCATTAGGCTAAAGACATATGCGTATCCACCTCTTTGTTCCCTCATAGTGGGAGAGATAAGTGCCATAGGTTACAGTTCTAGTCTTTAGGGATAGCGCCATGATTGTTCATAGTTGGTGAAACAGATAACCGTTGCACTAAAGATAATCGTATGATTCACAAATGTTTTGCCAATAACTAGTTGGCTGTTTCGATAACAAAAAAAAAAGGGCGTACAGCCATCCCTAGTATCTGATCTGGAAGGTAAAATGCATATACATATGCGCACACTTGTATGTGTCTTCAAGTACTTGTACATCTTACCAATACGTTTCCTAGTGCTGGATATTGCAAACTTGAGTAAATCAGAAAGTTTATTAGTTGCATTAAAAAGGTATTCACCTAAAATTAGTGCAAAAAAATGCAATTGATCAAGCTTGAATGAACATAATTGATGGCCGAGTTTGATTTGTTTCCACTTAAGTCCAATACATAAGTGCCGTGTTATGTTATCAAGAAACTATCTAATTAAGTGGTGGCTTCATGAACTGATTTGGCAGATAGAGGAGATTGATGCTGAGCTTCAATTGTCATGGAACGCAAATGCAGGAGACCGAAACATGATTTACAACAACCAAGCTGCTCAGTTGCAGTATAACTTCGAACCCCTCAACTATAATGATGCATCGCAGATGGGGTAAAATTTCAGCAATTTTGCTCAGTCCAAAGATTGTTTATTGTCATTGAACTTTTGTGTACCACACCATTCGAAAACAAACAACTTCCTTACAAGCAGCATTGGTCGATTGACTATTATGTCCAACATTTGATCTCAACTCCAACATACACTAAATAAATTTCATTGACACTGCACGTGGGAAGAATTTTTTACTATGTAAACGAAAATCCTTCACACATTTTAGCATGCAGTTCCCTAATGTTGTTTGTAAAAGAAAATATCTTGTCATGCAGTTTCAATCCCATGTCTACTGAGCAGCAGAACAACTTGGCAAGCTCAGCTCAAACTGGTACTAATCGGTTCATCCCTGGCTGGATGCTTTGACTTGATTATAATTGCTTCTAGATTCATGACCAACCACAGTGTGTGTTCACAAAATATAAGTATTGGCATGCTTGTGGAGGAGATTAATAAGTCTGGTATTGTAGATGGCCTCTAATTGCCATTCAAACTAGGAGCAATTTACAAAATGAATGGCTTACTGTATATGTATGTTGTCCTTCTTGTAATATAATTACCGATCGATGTCATAGTCTCGCTGCACCAAGTGAGTTGTGGGTTGCCAATAAGAGCTTCGGAGGACTTAGTTTTTTTGTGTTTTCTGCGTTTGGAATTCCGGATTGTCTGTAAAGTGATGGCATCGTGCAGAACGTGATCAAACTGATCATGTTTATCTGATGACACAATTGATGTCCTGGAACAAGTATAACTCATCTATTTTACCATTTCTTAACCTGTTTTTCCCTTGGTTTCTCGGCTTACTAACGAGTTTGATTACTGGTGAGTCGGGGGTACCTTGTGTTCCTCATTCTAGCAAAGAACTTGCTCCTTATGATCATGCCCCGGCTGGTGACTTTCAGGGTCACTTTCATTCTGTCACTGAACTTCAAAGTTCATCTAGATTTCCTAAACATTACAGTGATTCTCTCATGACTCATATTTGTTGAACTTTTATCAGCCACCATATGATCCATCACGATCCTCCGAGACCCTAGAATTCGAATGCTAACATGAATCTTGAATTATATCATCCCAAGATCGTTGCCTTTTGAGCTAAACTATGTCAGAATGCTTTGTCTGTTCATCTCCTCCTTTTCCACTTAATTCTGATGATAACAGCATAAGACAAACTAGCTAGCCTAGGGTGTACATTTTATAACGGAACACCAAAGAAGTACATGTTTGAAGAAAGTCATTTCGTTACTTCAAACGGAAAATTATACATTTGCTAAGCATGTTCAGTGACGCTTAACAAGTGCTCTAGGGCACTCTCATTTTTCGATCTTTGATAGCCCAGTACAAGCAAAAGAGAGGGATACGGTGTTGTCTTTGCACGTCAAGATGTATAGTCATAACGTGGGTAAAACCGTATTCCGACAAGTTGAGCAGAATAAATACGGCAGTTTCTCCAAGGCACCAGTTATTCTGCAGAAAATAAACGATTAGGAAAATCGTATTCTGACAAGTTGATCAATTTCAGTTATAATTAAGTCGGAGAAGGAAGGAAGCACTCGTGAGGTCATTCTCGATGTGAAAGAGCATCACGAACGTAGCGTGTTCGTGTTGAATAATACTTTGTTCTTGGGGTTAGATGTCGCGTCCATATCCATCAACTCCGAGGCATATGAGAACAATTCGTGCACGGGCTATATACCTCCAAGACTAGACGTGTCGGTAACATCCAAAGCTTGCAATATCTATCTCGGTGAGATATGTTTTGTTCTTGTCTTGTTTTTTCATACCAATTAGACAAGACATGTAAAGGTGTCGAGATAGATCTAATTAGACCCGATTAAGAGATAATTTTTCTTCATGGGTCATGTCGAGCTAGCCCTTTCCTTAAAGCTCCTTTCCTTCCTCTCTCTCTCTCTCTCTCTCTCTCTCTCTCTCTCTCTCTCTCTCTCTCTCTCTCTCACTTCGAGGAAAGTAGTCGAGAGGCTTCGGTTGGCCAGTCTTAATGCGAATCATTAACGAGACTACGAAAGGCCCTCTTTTGGTTGTCGATTGGAATTTTGGTCATCTTCTCGACAAAAGTCAAAAGAGGGTGGTTGGTTCGCGTTCATCCACCTTTGTAAAGGGAATGTCGTCGTCCTCCTTCATCAATTCGCATAGTTCGCACGAATGATGTGGTGCATTGGCATTGGCATCATGAACTAGGAGAGCATCTTGCATTTCGACGTTCGGGGATTTTCCTCCCTCTCTTTTTTCCTTCGAAATGTTTCGGTGCTATGGTTTATCGCGTCGTGTAATCCGGGTTCGATTTGGTTATCGAATTTCGAGGGCCTATAATCAACAAGAACAATCAAATGAATCTTGGAATTTCAACCGATTATTGTTTATGTGCAAATGGTAAGTCATTGATATGTCTCTGGTATTGATTGAGCCCAGTTCAGAGGTTATTAAGCCTAATTTCTCTTCCAAATCCGGCCTAAAGAAATAATGAATAATCGATGATAATATCAATATAAAATCATGCAAAATCGAACTATGTAATGAGATTGACCACTTCTTCTATACTATTTTATATAACAAAGAGGACTTCCTATTTTTACCCATACACACACACACACACACACACACACACACTCAATTAGTTATTTACAAATATTCCTCCACCAATGGACAACTTTGTAAATTAATAATTTTATCTTCACTAAAACGTATTTTAATTTTAAACTTTTGAGTCTCTTCTAACATGACCTTGCGAGAAAAATTAACCGCGATATTTTATTCTCTTTCCATATGTATAGTACAATTTCTTGATATTATGTCAACTGGCAAACGTTTACACGCAATGCGTGTATGCAAAAGTTGATATACAATAAATTTCACAGAATTGCCTTCTTGCAAAATATTTGAATTATTAATTATCAAATTGAAAATAAAGACGCAATATAAATAAATTGCACATATATTGTGAAAAGAGAAAAATGGTTGAAGATTCTAACTTTTTTTTTTGTTTGGTAAGGTAGTTTATAAGATAAAAAAAGATTCAATTGTCAAAATCGAAGCGCGTAAGAGATGAAGTAGAATTATCGATTTACATTTGATCATTAACAGGATACTTATGAAATAACCGATTGAGAATATTCCGGGTAAATAAAATAACATGAAATAAATAAAAAAAGAGTTGCGATCCCTTAAAAGGAGGAGACCGATTTTGCTCCATATAATAGTCTAGATGATTTCTCACCATCAATCAATAATTCCAATATACCGAATTGAATTTTGCAAAAAAAAAAAAATCTTTTTAAACGTTAATTATTAATTAATGGTGAGCCCTTTTGATGGAAGGTGGAATATAATGATGGCCAAAGAGAGGTTCTTTCGTTGGTGTGTGTTATGCTTTTTGATATTCTTAGCAAGTGACATGTTTCCCCACAATCATCATCATGGCTCTTTAGGATTGCCAGCCACTATTTGGTCTTTTTTGTGCATTGCTTATTCTGCAAGCAGGTCATGTAAGTAAAAAAAGAGAAAAAAGGAACTCAATTTTTTTTTAATTTCCCATAAAAGGGTAAATAAAAAAATATTAAGAGCTTAGCTGGAAAATTTAGGTTTTAATTGGGCGTGATAATTGGCCCTTTTTCCCCCATAATTTAAAGATGTTGGGCCTATGATTCGGGTCCAGTGTCGGACAAGAAAAGAAAAAGGACAACAGATGCTGTAGGTAACTTTTGCCCACTAAAATATTGGTGCTTTTATGTGATTTGGCCCCTTAATCTCAAACCTTAGGCACCATTCGGCCATCATTGCACAATTAAGAATTGGGCTTGTCTAGTTTGCTCCATCTCACACATGACCAATCTTGCGGATCGAGATGCAGCGCGGGGCACGACCGAAATAATCGTCCTTAATATCGTTGTATTTTACACTTTGTTAGTTACGCGTCGAGAAATTAACGGTGCATGCGCATCAGTTAAATTGAGTTTAGAAACACGATTAGCGTGAGTCCAAATTTGTTAAATTTATGTTGGGATCAAGGTGTATTCTCGTTCGTAGTACATCAGGTAAAAGTTAACTGAGGGTGAGAGTAATGCTACGTACTCTCCCTCATGCTTGGTCAAGAAGAAGTCAATTTACCAATTTTAATATAATTGCCCCACATTATGCAGCTGATTTATATTTTTCTTTTAAGCTGCAAGAAATCTCATTCTTTACATTTTCCATGAATATTTTACATGATCCAGAGAAATCGGGGAGACACCAGCTTGCAGATCAAAGAGAAAACTTTCAATTGACTGCTGGTTGATTCTTGCAGTTTCTATGAATGTGTATAATTGACGGCGTGATTTCTCAGACAGCAGCAATCTGTCCTAATCAGATGAGTGTCTGATGTTTTCTAACACAGAACCCACGTTTGTGTACAGCAAAAGAAACGCATACACATACGTGCAAATTGCATTCAGCGGCCTTCACATATTCTCCTTCCAGAAAGCAAAAGCTGTTCTTGTTTAGAACAGGGAAAAAAGAGAAAAAGCAATTCAACACGCTTCGATGACATCACATGGATCTTCCAGGACAATCATCAGCAACATAAAGAAAGGCAGTAATGGAAAGACCAAGGAGCAAATCAAGCTTACTTAACCACCCGAGATTATAATTAGCTCTTAAAAAAAGCCACTTTGTGCTGGGATTGCTGGTCTAAGAGGTCCTGGCCCTACAGATTCATGACAGGCACGTTCAGGAATAGCCCCCACAGGATAAATTTTTAAAGCAACAAAGCAACCAACATGATTAGGTTGCCCAAAAGTGCAGGGAAGAAACGAGGGAAGAGGAGAAAATAAAAGCAGAGCAGAAATGTGAAAATTTGGCCGAGACCAACCTCTAGAAATCGGCACAGCATCTGTACAGATTTCGCTTCGGCATCTTCCTGTTTTGTGTGTCTCACCTGAACATTTGCACTCGAGGAAAAATGGGGAGGACAGGCACAAGATTGCCAGGATTTTGCCTCAACAGGATCAGGCCTCACGTGAGAGTCCGGTCACCTCCCATACAATCAAAGGCGGATCCGAATGCCGTCAAACCTGATCGACAAATGGAAAATCCAGGTGGCGGCAGCATTGAGGAAGAGAAGCCCAGGAACGGGGAGAAACCCGGGCAGGCGACAGGGCGGCGGATTTTGATCGTGGTGGATTCGAGCATGGAAGCGAAGGGAGCTCTCCAATGGGCACTGTCTCACACAGTTCAGAGCCAGGACATCATGATACTGTTGCACGTGACGAAACCGGCTCAACAAGGTCTGAATTCTTCACGCACTAATTCTTTTTGGAATTTATCTCCGTGTGGGCATGTCTTGATGAGTGGTTTTTGAAGCAAACAGGTTCTTGTGTTGATTTTATTGATTGCAGGAACCTGTGAAGAGTGTAACAAGGAGACAGCTCCAAGGGCTTATCAGCTTGTTCAGTCCCTGAAGAATATGTGCCAGTTGAAGAGACCTGAGGTGGGTATATAATTGTAACTCACTAGAGGTCAAGAACTCTGCTTAGAATCCATTAAACCAAAATTTGCTCTCGCCCATTCTAGATGATCTTGTGCATAATGTGTCTTTTTTTTTAAGTGGTTTCTTCACTGATTTTCACGTCCTAGAGGGCATCATAAGTTCTTTGTCTCTCCAATGGCCCCTGTATTTTCATATTCGATTATCATTTTTAGTTTCACAAGCGTTTGATTCTTTCTTTGAGTGGATGATTAGGGGAAAAAAGAAAGCAAAAGCTTAAACAAAGGGGCAAAATTCTCACTCCACCACGCCATGTGTTTCACTTTCTTTCCTCTACAAGTGAATTGAAAGAAGTAGTTTTTCTCGTTTATGGGCATTCCTTGTTCAGTCGGCTGCATCTGTTGGACATTAAATTTCCAGTTTGTAGTTATATTTAACTAAACAAAACTGGGTTTTGGTAGGTGCAAATTGAGACGGTGTTAGTGCAAGGTAAAGAGAAGGGTCCAAAGATTCTGGAGGAGGCAAGAAAGAGTGGAGCATCCCTGCTGGTGTTGGGCCAAAAGAAGAGGTCAATAAGCTGGAGATTGCTGATGATGTGGGTCGGAGGGAACCGAATGGGCAGCGCCGGCGGAGGAGTCGTGGAGTACTGCATCCAAAACGCCGAGTGCATGGCCATTGCCGTGAGGAGGAAGAGCAAGAAGCTCGGCGGCTACTTGATCACCACCAAGCGCCAGAAGGATTTCTGGCTCCTTGCTTGAATCAAATCTTCCTATTTTAAGCTGTTTTCGGGTCCTTGATGTTGAAATCGCCTCACATCTGATGACACGGTGCATGTGAAGGTCCTTTCTTCTTTTTCTACCCCCAATTCATATTCTCTGTACATACTAAAGTCATCAAAACACGGACCATGTTCCAGTCTCGGAGGGTGTTCAGAGAAAAAGGGTTGCGGATTCTTCTCTTTGATGGCCAAATCTGAATTTGTAGAGAATATACTTTCCCAGACTCGGCTCGTGTTAACCACATAACCCGATATCTTCGTAGGTGTTATAGCGTCGGTTTGCATTGATCGGGTAAAAGCTACAAAACCTTCATCACAGCTACAACTGCTTAATAAAAATGTACCAAAAAACCTCCAAAAGCACGACTATCCCTAGATACATGTGCGCAGTCAGCTGTGAAGAAGGGTTTGGGAGTGTTGGTCTTCACACATGGGCCCGCATGGGCAATTATGGCCAAGCAAAAGGACAATGGCAATGGGGTTCATCATTGACCAGGCTGCATTATAATTGAGGGGATGGTGAGGAAGCTGAGGTTACACAAAAACAGATCAAAATCACATGGTCCCTCGGGCTCTTACTGAGCATACGGATCCCCAAGGCTTAGGACATGGAGGGAGACACTTCACTTCGGTGCCAAACCAACATAAGGACCCGGTCCTGTCCTTGTTGCCACCACCGTCCTTTAGCAGAAAGAAGCCACTTCTCCCTCTTTGAGCTCTTCTCCTCTCTTTCCTCTCCTCTGTTCTTTTTTTTCCCATCGGGTCACCGCTGCAACGTGATGCGGATTTGATCCTCGCTGTTCGGCGTCTCCCTCCAAAGATTGGCCACGACATCCCGGTAGATAATCCGGCTTGAGCAATCACGTTCAAACTTGATTGTGCCCGTGAGCTCTCACATGCACCAGTGTTTTTTCTTTCGTTATTCCAATTTCGTGGGCCTAAGCTTTCTTTTGCCATTTCAATGAGCATCCTAGGAAAAGTCACTTTTGCCACATTCGGCTGTCGTGCATCTTACTTACGAGCTAACCGAAACACACGGGACCGGAAATATGAACCGGATCCTTTTAGTATGTGTTGATACCTAAATTTTGACAACCCGTTTAGTTATTCCTTGATAGAAGAGAGGATCGACCCCGATCCCTAAACAAAAAACATTATTAAATTGCATTTGCATATCAATAGGGTTTTCATTGTAATCGGACTTTAGAGTTAACGGGCTTAAGCAGGGGAAGCCCCAAACTTAATCGACTAATCCGGATTGTCGGGGCCCACATTTTCCAATTCATGAAGAGCAAGTTTTCGACAAATTCGGCCAAGAGTGGATTTACGGAAATTAGAGAAGTCCAGTAGTGATGAGCGAAGAAGATATGGTAGGATAGGATTTTGCTAAAGAAAATATTCGTTCACCGCTTAAAGGGGTGAGGTAATCTCGGGAAAAGGAGTGTGCACAGGGGATGAGGTTTTGGTCAAATTTTGAAGGAGGGGGAGGGGTGAAGGTGAGAAAATCTTTGGTGGATTTGGGATAAAATAAATTGAAGGGGGAAAGAAAGATTCGACGAATTTTCTTTCTACAAGTAAATGGCTCACTGGACTTTTGAGGTCTTCAAAAGCCCTACCATACGATTTTCCATATAGACAGGACATATACAATGGAAGGCCAAAGCCGGCTGCGTGATACTGATGGCAAAGGGAGCAATCTGAGGCGGTGAATAAGAAAGAAAGATGGGAGGAATTTGAGGGTGAGTTGAGTACATCCCAACTGGGTTTTGAGAAGAGAAACGTGAGCGGAGTTCACACGTCCGGCTTTTAATCCCTACTCCCCCGGAGTCTACGGTTGGGTTTGACGCCCTTTTCTCCCGTGACATCACTTGCATTGTCTGGTTAAGATCATGCAGAACCATTCGATGCTTGCTTGAGGTATTTATGTTCTTGCCCCCCATCTCTAGCAATTTTATTTTGTTAAATTCTTATGATCATGTATGTTAGAGGCTTGAGTTAAAATTAATCAAAACTACCTTCGTAAATACTTCTGAAATAAAGACAAAAGATACCGAAAGAGTGTTAGATTATCAAGTCCCGTACCCATAAATCTTCTGAATAAACTGATTTGCATGATACTTAAATTAAAACCCCAAGTTGCAATTGGTATGGACTTGAGAGAAAGTCCACACTAAGTATGAGCTTAGTATGAGCCAGGATATTTGGATCGACCGAAAAACCTACTGTGAGCATTAGCAGACCAATCTCCACCTAACAATAAACGAATAAAGTAAATCCAACCATGACCAAACTCAATCAGGCTGTTCCAGTCGACAAGAGGCTTTGGCCTAAAAGGATCTCCATAGCGAAATCTGATTTGAGTCTCGCAGAAGACACCGATTCTCACCCTTACAACATAAAAGCTCAAAGTTGTCAGCACGTCAAAAAATTACACTTCTTCAGTAAAGGACGGCTGGTATGTGTGACAGACATCCACTTTATACATACATCTTAGAGAATTTAAGAATGACACATTATGGACAACAAAAAATCGCTATCTGATCAGGGTGTCGGAAAAGAAAGAAGAAACCAAGGCAGCAGCACCGCCAAGTGCTGCTGCTGCTGCTGTGTAGTATGATGAACTTTAAGCCCACATAAATTTCTCCTTCATGCGCGCTAGTAATTTAAATTTCTCTTCAGCTTCAACCTGCTGGCGAATGTCATTTCTTGACGCCCGGTCTGGGTGAAATTTCAGCAAGGCTCGTTTATAGGCTGCATGTACCTGAAAAACCAACATCATAATCCTCGTTACAAAGGCTGATAGAAAGAAATATGAGACCATCGTAATTCAGTCAATGGAATGCCAAATCCTGTGGAAGCCATTCGTGTCTAACAAACAAATAAGTAACTTGCCTCCTGTGTTGAGGGACAAAAACTGCCTCCGATATGTATCCCCAGTCCACGAAGCAACGAGGCCATATCAGTGCATGTTATTTCCAGTTTAGATATCTCCTTCCTTATTTCAGCACGAAGTTGCTCTTTGAGGTTCATATTTTCCTCGTCCTGAACATTAAATCAGTTCAAAGAAATAAAAACGAATTAGTTGCGGCATTTAAAGAATGAAAAGGTTTTACATCACGAAATGATATTATATATGTTAAGTTGTGATGACCAATTCAATCAAATCATTACAATGGCACATCTCTCTCATCCATTTCCATGAGAAAGGCTTTCAATCAATAAAAGAGCCATGCCACGAAATCTGAAAAGGCATTCTGAAAATAGTCTGACTGAGACACAATGGCATAGCCATATTATAACCAACTCAGGGGCTTTTAAAATGCTGATAGCGCGCACGGAATTAGTTTTGCTTGTCAGAGTAGGAGCATTCATCATTTTCATTAATAGATATCATGCGACATTAGAAGTTCCATGTTCTTTTGTTTAAAACGGAAATGGATAGTAAATAAAGCCACTCCTCTGAAAAAAAAAAAGGGCACATGTTAGATGAAAAAAGCTTCGGAGCACACATAAATGACGATTATAATATCGACCTTCTTTTGTGTCTGTCTCATTTCTTCAATCCGCTGCTTTTGCCTTCTTTCCATATCCAATAATCGCATAGTTTCAGCTCTTTTTTTCTTCCGCAACCTGTGGGCCTCTTCTGCCTACAGAACAACACTCCTAAATCAGCACATGTTCTTCTAAAACAATATCCAAGGGAACAATTAACTAATTAAAATTGCGGGCTCTAATAAATGCAAGGTAAAACATATAAAGTACGCTTCTAAAAACAAGAAAAAGTTATATCGAATACAACTAAACTGCATTACACCCTACCAACACTTTTCCTGATGCCATAGATCAACGTAAGCATAGAGGTACCAAGAAAAGCAGGTCAAAGTACTGGAACTGAGACTGGAAGTGCATGAAAAAGATCCAAGGCCACAACTTTTTTCACAAGAATGTCTTCTGAATATCCAAAAGATTGATATTTCACAAATTATTTCATAATCTCGGAAATAAAAATATCACCCCTAAAACTCTTTTACTACAGGAATGTCTATGCCAACCATCGACCAAACTGATATTCCAATTCAGCACGGTCAAAAACAACAGCGAAGACTTCTCAAAGCATTAAAGATGTTATAAATTCGGAACAATTATGTCAAGTTAAGGAGGCAAAAACAATCACCATACATTCAACACAGGACATTCGACCTATATACATGCGATTGGGAGTCCATCAATGCCAGTTAGCATCCCATATCAAAGAAGAAGGGCAAAAATAAGTGCATCTCAGACAGAAAAATGATCAGAACAAATTGAAAGATGTCGGTCAAAACCCTTGTAGAAGATTGCATGTACTTAACCACTAAGATATTAAGTATAGTCCAACCTGTAGTTGTAATTGCCGCTGCCGAGATGCCCATTCTTCTTCTGCTGCTCGCTTGTATTCATCAGTTTCCTTAAGCATTTCCCGTCCATTGATAATGTCCTTTTGGACACTAGGCACATAACCACCATCTTGAGCATGTGGACTCTCACTTTGTACATGACTTTGACGACTAGAGGATGATTTAGCAACTAAGTCTTCCTCTTTCACAATAGGAATATTCCGCGCAAGTTGTCCTGCGGTTTCATCATGACAAGACATTGCACATCTAACTCCAGACCGGCGAAAAGATGAGGATTTATCTTTACGGTCACCAACTTGATATTTTGCACCATAATCAACATGTACTCTGCCTGTATGACAGGAGTCTGGCACCAATGGTTTGCCAGAGGGATTCTCTTTGTGAGGACCAGTTCTTTCATGCGCTAGTTCATCTGGAACAGAATTGTTGCTGCGAAAACACTTACTCTGTAACCGGTCACCTGCTTGAACATCTCTTTCACCATCAGCACAAGTTTCACTACCAATTTTTCTCTTCAATAAAGCAGACTCTTCCTTAAAAATACTTCCTCCCTGATCAGATTCATCAGGGATGTCCCTGGCTGGGGTATTATTGTCAAAACAAGACTTTCCCGTACATTTGTATTCTTTACCCACGGTATTATTTCGTCTATTGGCTCTGACTTCACTAAACAATAAAGAGGGCTCCTCATGATCATGTCCGACTCCTAAATTGACAGGAACTGCCTCACCAGAAGCAAAATTTTCTTTTGCTTTTGCATTGCGGGAACTAGAACACGCTGGATTAGACGAGTAATGGGCTTCTCCACTTGTGCAAGCATCAGTATGTAAGCCAGAAGCCTTAACTTGATCTTCCGAATGAAGATGCCCGTTAAAGGTATCATGTTTTCTTTTGGAAAAAGCATTTTCCCACTGTTCACGAAGCTTCCCAGAGGGATCTTCCATAACCTCACAATCAGAGAAATCACTATCAAAGGAGACATCTTCTGAAACAGGACTGAGACCACATCGATTTCTACAGGGAACTTCACCTTCACCGCTATAGGAGTTCTTGCTCCTAGATGACTTCAAAGCAGAACACTCCTCAGGAACGACACAACATTCATCAGCATCGGAGTCAACAGATCCTCCCAAGTTGGAGGAGGGAGAGGACCTGCTTGATGTGGCATCGCTATCCGACTCACCACCACCGGCAATACTGGGTCCAGGAAGCTCAACATCCCCATTATCATCATCATCATCAATACTAATAACACCCTCATATGGAAACCCCCTATTCTTTTGTGGTACACCAGCACCTCGCAACTTCTCCTGTACAGATTCAGGGACATCAATGATGATAACCTCATCGTAATCATCACAATCTACATCGATGAGAACAATGTTTTCAAAATTGCTTTTCGCATGGCAACGATCTGGAATTGTCTTGCCAGCACAAGCTCTAGGATGCCAATCAGTAGACACTCTTTTTCCTCTCATTTCCTTCTGCAAAGAGAGACGTCACAGCTGCATGAGTATCCACTCGAAAATAAGTACCGAGTTCAGAAAATTAGAAAACAGAATTTCCAAATTCAAACCAACAGCAAAAGGTACCAAGTTCCGTTTTCCCAAATGTTGATAGGAAAAATAAATGACATGGCGCTGCTAGTAACTAAATACACTTCATGCAGAAATCATGCAAAGTGAAAATGTATAGACGTTAGTTTTTCCAGATGAGTTGAAGACTCAACAGACAACAAACCATTGACCTAACCGAAAAAAAAGTACCTATCGTTGATTAGCACACAAAAAATTATCAAAGCATGCACTAACCACGCGGCAGAACTACTAAATCCAAATTTGACTCCTTATTCAAACATCTCCATAAATGTCCATCCTTCAGTACTTGAAAATGGTAAACCGTTAACCTAAAAATTTTCAGCAGCCTGATCGTTCTAGAAATTCAAAAACCAAACCCAAAATCTATGTCAATCGTCAACTCCTTCCGACCCAATCCAATTCCCGGAGTTTAGGATGTTATCAGAGACCAGCTCCAATATAATTCCGCCGATAGTGACAAAAACCAAAACCCTTAACATATACAGGCGCACCATCATCATTAGGGCTTATATAAAAACGATCCCAGCAATCAAAAGGAACCTATTTTCCACCTATCGGAAGACAAAGCAGAGCAAAGGCGGCGCCAAACCACGACCGCGAATACCAGAGCTCTCCCAATTCAGCAAAAAAGAAACCGCGACGCATGTCCGAGGTTCGGGGCAACCGAGCGCGCATCGGACTCCTATCGGCAACGCCCTCATTCCCTAATGCCGGCATGCCGGCACCACGACCCGCCGAAGCGCCCTCCCCCCCCCCCCAAAAAAATCACAGGGCACGATGCACGGACGAGGAAAGACGGAACGGCCTCAAAGACGACGGCGACGGCGGACGCAACAAAAATTATACCCAGAAATGATCGAGAGAATTCAAGCGGCTACCATCAAGACCGAGCAGAGCCAAGCCCTAGCCCGAATCCGGAATCGGGAATCGGGAATTCACCTCGGAGCAGCAGCGAAGCCCCCGCAGCTCATCCGAGAGAACTCGAAGAATCACGAACCGGAGGCAACTGCGAAGCCGATCGATCGATCGAGAGAGACGACGGAGGGAGGGGAGGGGGGAGGGGGTGGGGTGAGGGGGTAGAAATCGAGCACGAGCGAGCTAGGGTTCGGGAAGATTTCAAAAGCTTTTCGCCTTCCTTTCCTTACTATTTCTCGGGCAATTTCCGCAACGGGGGAAAGACGGCGTGGCGACGGGGAATCGGTCGGTGACGCAACTGATTTTCAACGGAGCCGTTGCGACAGTTTGCGCCCTTGCCATTGGTCGTTGCTGTTGCGGGTCGTCACCGAGGCGGAAAGGACGAGGAAAGTGTGGGGGTGGGGACTTTGGGAGTTCGGTTCGGCGGAGTCGAGGTCTCCTCCTCGGCTGCCTCGTCTTTGTTTATGTTTCCGTTTTGGAGAAATGACACAAAATTATCTTAGAACGTGATTTGAAAAACTTTTAATCTGTTCAACGTGATTCTTAGACTTTACCCAAATATACAATGCGGTCCCTAAACTTTTAATTTGTTCAATATGATCCAATTTAATGTCCAAACTGTACGAAATTGTGCAATATTGCCCCTGAACCTAAAATAATGGAAGGATAACTTTGTATATTTTCATATAACTAAGGGACTAAATTGAATATGTACCGAAAGTCTAAGGACCACTTTCAACAAATTAAAAGTTCGGGGACTATATTGCACATTGGGATAAAGTTCATGAACCACATTGAATAAATTAAATTTTTAGGACCATGTTGCATATTAATCAAAGTTCAAGGACCATTTATATCATCGCCTCTTCCTTTGTTTGTCTACCGTATCTCGAATTTTTACCAAAAATGGACGAATCATAAAATCTAGAGTACTCGAGAGGAATAAACGAATTTTGCCAAGATTTGGTTTGAATCAATAGAGTAAAGTCGTGTTTATTATCTTTTAATTTCTTATAATTAAATTATTCGGCACGCTATTATCGGATGTATAGAAAAGATCATTCTAATTTTCACGATATCCTAAGCTCTCTTACATAATCGAAATTTTGGATGTAGGAGGATACACCGACAAGCGAAAAGTACGTACCGGAAAATGTAGAAATTGTAAGTCAACTTCTAGTTTCGGTGAAAATGCAGCATATAAAAGAAAATATATACTTTATATATATAGATATATATTATATTTTTTTTCTTTTATATATATACAAGGTATGGGCAAGCCCATCTGCTAATCTCTGTGGGCCTTCTTGATCTGTCTCACACACACACAGCCTTTTGAGATGACCCCCTGCAACAAATGGTCCATTTGTTCTACATCTACCATGTGGATTGAGTGGCGGTTCTTTTTAGTTGCAGATTATCACTGAAGATTTTTGGTCAACTCTGCAAGGGGGGAAATGATTCAGGGCAATCGTCTCTGTGCATTAGAAATGCCACATGAACATTCAGGGTCACCAAGGAGTTCCCAATCCCCAAGCTGATGCTTTGCGTTCAAGGTTGAAGACATTGTACTTCGAATCGGCGGCTTAATCACACCGAAAGAACATTGTCGAGAGCCGAGGCGGCACAAATGCATGTTTACTTGTTTAGTTCCTGCAGCAGGAGACTCCTAAATGACGGAATTGTTGTGTCTGATTCAGGTTATGATCACATTCTCCGGCGACTGACCAGAACACCAAGAACTGGCAGGATTGAACATACAATCAATCAAGACCAGTTTTCGTGATCCGTTGGTCTATGAATACTGCGTGTGCGAAGGCTTATCCCATCCGCTAAAGTGGGCAACAGGACTCTTCAACACTGGAAATTTCCTGATCTACAGGTTTGGGGAAGAAAGTTTGTGCTAAAAATTGCAAGGTTTCAACAATGGAAAAGGAAAACCAAGATCAAATTTCAATCGATGGTCCTCTTATCGGACTGCCATGAACCTGAAGCTGTCTTCAGGAATTTGATGTCCTAGATCGCAAAGGTCTATATTTGCTAGTTGAATGGTAGTGAAGTGTACACCAAAGAGAATTTACACAGCAATACAGGACCATTTCCATGGAGATCACCGGGAACCCTTTTCACATTTTACCGGCTCAATTCGATGAGATCTTGTCGCATTATCCTGGGAAGCGCGTGCGGCCACATTACTCATCAGGGAAGGCATCACGAGAGGCGATAGCAGAGGGATTGGATCTTTATTCTGATAAAACGAAGACGACGAAGAGGAGGAAGACATCGACAAACTTAAGCCACATCCCATTTCACTGGATTCAGCCCTCTGCTCGAGCAAAATCTGCGGCTTCAGTGGCAGAGGACACGGAGCTTTCTGCCGCAACCGGCTCATAGGCCTCCTGCAGGCGTAGACATCCTTGTGAACGCACATTTGGAAGCCCGGAAACTCGGAAACTGAGTCCTCAACATTGCTTCCTCGATCTGATATCATTTGGTAATAAAGTCAGTTCACTTTTCCAAGCTTGAGTGAGGGACTCTCAGAGTCTCAGCAATAGATGCTCTATATGGACCAGACGGTGAGGACTAATCGGCATTCGAGAAAGTGGCATGTCCACCGCGCAGATATAGAGGATCGAATCATTGTACGACGGCACAGCATCCTTAAAAAATAGAGGAGAAAATCAGTGAATGGTGATGGTGATGGGCTTGGCTTTCAGTGAGCCATTCATGTGGGGGGAGTGTTGCTTGCTTTTGCTCTAAGGAACAATGAATTGTTTTTCTTGGGCTGCTTCATGTGACAGAAGAATCAACGGCAACTTTTTTCTTTTATAAATTTTGTGTTGTTTTCAGTGACTGATTGAAGATGCAGAAGAGGCACATGAGTGCCATTTGAATATATTAGTTGTTCTGGCTCTGACATTTGCTTCATTGACTTTGAGACAAATTGACAGACTCCTTAGGGTGTGGACTGATAGTGGGCATTATCTTATTCAACTTGGGCAAGCTCATTAGTTGCTGTACATTCTACACAGGTTGAACCGATGCTGTGTTCATTAGTATAATCATTCGAGTCGGTTTTGACCGGTCAAACCCCGTAGATTCTGCAATGACTTTCTTGCCAACCGAGTTCATCCGATGGCAATCACAGCACAAGCAAGAAGCAAGCATTAACCCTAGCAAGAAAAATTACAAGAGTTGACTGTTCAACAGCAGTCTTAATTCAAAGCTCATTTTCTGCATCATATCCCTCTCCTAGTCTTAACGTGTGTGTGTGTTCCTTTCGTTTTGATTTCGGTATCCCTAGCCACCGGTGTGAGGCGAAATTAGGAGGCTATTTCCAGAAACTAGAGCATTGAGCAAGGGCAAGGGTAAAATTCGATTAACTCGGGATCATTAGACGTGGCTTCGGATAATCCTGAGACGCCATTTGGAATTGCGGAATACAAACGGCGGCCCACATGGCGAAACCCCGTTGCAGCAGTTACACGGGACAGATCATGATTGTGCCAATCAGTCTCTGTTGAGAACATATATGTGAGGATGAGAGTCAGCATTCGTCTCTCTCTACTTCACGCCCAACTCTGAAATACATGGTCGAAAAGGCTGTTCAAATCGCTTTCTCGTTTGGAATTTGAAAGGATTTTAGTAGGACCATTTTGAGCTGTCCTGGGAAAGAGATGGGTGGACACTGGACTAACTACTTATCCAACTAACAGTTTGGTTGCACCAATAATCATAAACCCTAATTGAACCGTCACATTTGTCATATGTATAAAATTGAAGTGGATCTATCATGTGATCTATGGCCCGAGAAAAAGCAAAAAGCGAGAAATGATAACATGAATAAAGTTTGAAGTACTCCCAGTTTCTCGTTTCCCAAACTGCCGCATTCTGCAGGGACCACGAAAATCATCAACTGATAATAAAACACTCCTTCAAATGGCCAAGCCATCTAATTATCTTTATCTCTCTTAAGCATGCCTAGGAAAAGGAAGCTATAAGAACCTCACAGAAATGAACCATCAGTTTGCGCGAGATCGACGTATCCAAAAGTTTGGTATGTCTATTTATTCGGTACCGTGTCAAGTCGCCCTACTTTGTAAGCGTTAATGTCAAACAGCCATGCCCAAAGGTGGGACTGCCTTGGTATCCACGGAATAAGATTTTAAATGGCCGCCTCTATCATATAGAGATGTTAGACACCCCATCCGAATCTAACTGCGGATGGAACACCCAACTCTCGGTGTTACAGCACATATCCAGCCACGTATATTGCCTGTTGATCGACTAGTCATAGCAAATTGGAAAATTTCAAGGTTGGTAGATTCACCTAACTGCAAAAATCTGTCTGATGTGAATGGCCAACTTTAACGAACAATCCACCTGAGCTGTTTTCTGCAGTATTTTAGTATATGCGATGATAAGAAAAGTTCGCTCAAATCCAATAAACAAAGGACACACCGTGAAATGGTTGACCACAACTCTCCCATTTACCAAACTTAAAAATGGATCTTAAATTTTCAACTGATGCAGAAACTATCTGCACCCTCACCATAGAAGAGTGCCTTGTGAGACACAAACTCTCTCTAACAGCCCCAACGGAGATGAAGGAAAATTATAGAGCGCAAAGAATGATTATATACAATGGTTAGGCGAAAATCCTTACACAAATCGGGTCTCTTTCGTCACTTTTGTGGTTCCAATGTGAGGTTGGTTCCACGGTAAACAAATAAAGATCAGGTAGGTGACCGGGAAACATTTACACGGCCTCACGCTTTTCTAATGGCTAACCCTTCTTCCTCCTTCAAGAAAATGGCTCTTCCTAACATCAGTACTTGCATCCTACTTAAAAGAAATATCCCGTAACGATATTTTCCAGGGGGATTCCAGAAAACTGGCTAATCATGTACATGAGAAGATAAGCTAACCGTGAGTTTTGTCAAGAGTACGACCTAACTAAACCGAAGTTGACGAAGGATCTCGACTTGAAGAGACCACCAAAGAGGAACCTAGTGGGAGATTCCTGAACAACGGGCTTCGACTCTTCGGAACTTCCTTTGACATGAAGTATGGTCTGGCCAATGGTTTGGCGAATGGATTCGATTGTCTTGGGGTCCACGGGGTATCCCGATGCGTCTTGCACATAAAATGTATTTACTGCTTTTCCGTCTTTGGTGGTGACTTCCGCTCTAGTCACGGTGAGGCTGTTTTCTCTGAAGATGCGAGTGACATTAGCAAGCAGCCCGACTCTGTCAGTCGTGCACAATTCTAACTTCAAGCCCTGCATTGATGCAAAAACTCACTGTCAAAAAAACGCCGCAAATCCAAATGATCAAATAATAAAGAAAGCAGAAAATTGTCTTAAGGTGTTCTGGAATCTTGGCATACAATACTCTTGAGAACATGTTCCCTTCAAAATCAGGGCATGACATCTATTCAAACACGTGAGAACACAACAAAAGTCTGAGAATAACACATTAACAGACTTTTGTCTGTTTCAGGGCGCCAGAGAAAGGCAATGGGTCTTATACAAGAACTCTCAATAAGATAGTAAAGGACTCTCCCCGTTCATGAATTTTAAATGTAGGCAAGTACAGAAAATCAAATAATACATGTATATCATCACTTCAATAAAAGTTCACCAAAGAGATCAACCATGCTAGATGCATCCTTTGGTATCTAAATAAGTCTTCGAATTAAAATAAAGTGAAGACTATAAAACAGGAAGAACATATGAAATTTTACAAATAGAATGGCTTCAGTTCATCGTCTCATACGCACCATTAACCAAAAGCAGTAATAATATATTCACTAGATTCCCCTAACCTCAGATGCCCTTCTCTCAATAGCGGCTTCAAGACAATGCATCAATCTATCCCTTTCTGCGTCTGAATTCACAGGGGATCCATCCAGGTGCCTGATATAGTACTCCTGCTCAATTGACCAACAATGTCATTAAGAAAACACTCTAATCGCAGTCCATGTGCCATGAAATCATTCACTACAAAAACACATACCTGATAAGCTTCCGGCCCCTCCGCATCGATGTTCGCATGAAACACAACATACTGCATGTCAGTCAACGTACAAACGGTGTCGAACAGAAGCTTCGGCCGATCTTTGCTCCGAATAGTGACAACCGAGTAGTCTTTGTCGTACCAATTAACAACCTCTACATTAGGCCTTTGCTTCTCATCCAACACGTCATCATCAGTTCGTTCATAATCCCGATCGGCAAACATCATCTGGTGAAGCCTTCTTGCAGTGAGAGTGACCCCGTGCGAGACCACAGTCTTCGCTCCCCGGGATTTGTTGCTTCCCTTGAGGACATTGCACAGCAGTTCCTTGATTCTAGTTAGCCTCTCCGGGTCGGTAATAGCCGACCCAGTTTCCTCGTCCGTGACATGCATTACTGCAGCCGCGCGCATGTTGTGGGTCCACACCTCAGCGCTCACCACATTGCACTTGAGATGGGTGAGGACGGCGCTCACTTCAGATAGGAGGCCCGGTCGGTCACATCCAGTCAACTCAATGGCAGTGTGGTCATCCGAGGGCTTAACCCCGACCGATCTTAAGGAGGAAGTGAAACATGAGTCTGGCCCGAGAACCTAAAGATGAAACGGTAAAACTTTGAGCAGAGAGTTCAAGGAGCAGAAGAAAGAGCAAGATAAGAAAACCAATGGGAAAGGACTAATTGATAGTGCTGACTAAAACTTACCTTCTTAATATAATCAAGGATCTCATCATCCATAATTTTGTTTCCATCTTGATCGGTAACATTAAAGACTGGTCAGGGTAAAATAAGGACAGTTAGGGTGTTGCTTCTCGGAGCCATGAATTGATGAACTGCTCTATCAAGATAAGCCATGGGAAATATGCAAAGGCCTACCGTCCATAAACCATCCACCATCAGAGGAAATGTATGCTTTGGTAATGATAAGGTCGAGATCAGTGAGGACTTGTACAACTTCCAGCAGTATTCCAGGTCTGTTTGCACTATCAACCTGCATCATGAACAGATAAGGTGCCAAACAGTTAGAAAAAAGACAACTTTGTTAAAGAAAAAAAGGAGAGAACAAAAAGAAGCCATGCCTGTATTACTGTTGCATTCTTGCAAGTCTCATTGTCAATCACAACTCTGCAAAAACAGAGCACATAAATGGAACGAAATCATGAATACCTAGTTGCCTTACATATAAGCAAAATCAAATTAAGAGATATGAGAGAGAAGGAAACTGCAAACCTGGGTGGATTCATTCTCCGGATAAGTTTCTCATATTCATCATCCATGGCAGGTGAAAAGCTCGAGCTGATGTCTATAGAAGCAGAAAAGGCAAGAATGAAGGAAGGAAATTCCAAATTTACTTCCTCAGGTGAAGCTGATGCTCATGAATGGAAAGAACCAATCGAGTCAAGCGAAAAAAAAAATAGGCAGCTGACTAGAATCCCGCAACACCAATCAGAGAAAAGATACCGAGGAATCAGACCCTTTTGTGGACTTCCCACAAACATTGCAGAAGAAAAGGGGCATTCGCAGAAAGGTCCTTGAAGAAGACTAGGGGGGGGGGTGTTTAATAAGACAGGCCAATCAGCAACACCTCCAAAGTCTAGAGAAAATTATTACATACAAATCGTTACCAAACCCACTCCCCTCAACGAACATCCGCAAAACGAAATGACCAAATAAAGCAGAGATTCTTTCGCATAACAGAGATGCAGGACGTCCGAAAGATTCCTAAAAAAAGACTCCAAATCCAAGGCGGAGAGAGCTAAATCTGGCGTTCGACACCGTAAATCCCAAACGGTTCATCACGTTAGTCGACAAAGCAATGGAACAATGACCAAGGACAGAAGACAATGCCACCATGACCAAAAGGATCAACCGACCAAACGAAAGGAAGGCAGGCCCCGAAATCCCGAGACACCCCATCGAAAGCTACAACAGAGCACGAGAAACGCAAAGGGACTCGCGGAATGAAGAAGACAGGGACGTACCCATTTCAGTTTTTTCGAGGATTCCTTCGTGATCTGCTCGCTCCCGAGTCCCTTCCTCGGTTCTCTCGATATAAGAAAAAGAAAGATTGGAGGGGAGGGGGAGGAGGAGGAGGATTCGTGCTAGCAACAACTATTACACCAAACTCTGAACTGCGCGTGTACATATATACACACGGACCAAGAAGACATCTTCAACCAGCTCTCCCCCCCTCTCACTGCCCACGAAGGAAGGAAATAAAATACTCTTTATCGCGATCACGTATTCCCTCCTGTATTCCCCCCCCGGCAATACCATACACCCTCAACGAGACGAAACGAACACGACCCCCCAGAAACAAAGAAAAGGAAATCTCCCACCACGTCAGAACCAACCCCGACATCATACTCCCAAAAACCTGCGACTCCCGTAAAAGTACCCACAACCCATCTCTCTCTCTCTCTCCCCTTCGGCGTGATGCGTGGCTGGTTTCAGTTTCGCTCTCGATGGGCATGTTCCAGTACTTAAAGAGCAAGTTCCTAAAACACGAGAGAGAGAGAGAGAGAGAGAGAGAGAGAATCTGAATCTGACTCTGACTGTGACTCTAAACGGCGCCGCTGGACCTAAATTTCCTTTCCTTTCGAAAGCTGCTTTTGGGTTTTGGTTCGGTTTGGCTTGGCTTTGTCAAGAAAAACGGAGAATCTTCACGTGCTGGAGCAAAAAGTAAAAGAAAACGACGCGTGGACAGCAGGAGCGGCACCAGTGAAATAAAAATCTCACCAAGGTTTGCGGAGATGACCGAACCATAATACCAATTTTTAGACCCCTAAGGGAAGGGAGTCTCCTCCTCACTTCACCGAGTAACGCGCTCCGGTCGGTATCGATCTCCGGCGGCGCCCCGGCCGGCGTCACGGGTCAATTACCAGGTCGGACTGCCGGTTGCGACGTTCGCTTTCGGTAATAACCGTCGTCGTTCCAATCCGGCTTATGCTCAGGTCTGTTTCGTCTCGCTCGCTCTATCGATATCAAATCATTAATCGTAAGTTGAATTACGTGCTCTTTGTGACGAGGGAATTATGTAATTTCTGTGACGATAATGCCGATTATAATTGTTTTGACAAGATTATGTATAATGTGACTAGTAAATAAACTATCAAATAGTAAGCACGTAATTGATGCAATACCAATTAAGTTGTCTTGATAATACATTATTTGTATTGTTTTAGAAGTTATTTATAGTATCATAATGGGCATAACATCAGTCGCTTACTGTAAGGTACAATCATCTAAACTTTCATCATTGAATATTATATTTGATATTCTCGTAATTACTAAATTGTTTTAATTGATGCTCAAATAGTTATACAATTGTAATTTGTTATGTGATTAAAATATTTATTTCAATATAGTCACGTATTTTATGATAAAATGTGAATAATAATCATAAATTATATCTTAAATAATAGATATATATAATCATAATATCATGATAACAAGTATGGGATGTTATATTCATGTTTGTTTATCAAAGTGATAATCATATATCTTTCGATATAATTATTTGTTATGTGTTTGGCTTTCAATTACAATCATCAATAAGTTTGAAATATACTTATAATATATACGAAGTACTAAACTAGAGAATCACGATTAACTGTTAAAATATAATTATTATATTGTCCGTAATTCTAATTTTAGGGGCACTTTGGGATTTTGGCTATCCTTTCTAATCATATATGCCATTCACGAAACCAAAATGTTACATTACTTATATCAAATACCATAATAATCGTTATAGCTCAATTACTTTATAGCATGATAGTTATTACATTACAGCCTCGTTCCATTGCTGCAATCAATCGGGTTACAAATGTAATCGGACACGTCTAATTAATGTCTAATTGTCGACGAATCATTGAATCTCAACTTACGATGGTTAATTAATTCCTCGCGATATCATTACCGATATTAATAGTAACGAAGTTCGTTATCTTTCTCGCCTCGTTGAAACGCATTTAGTGTGTAACTCACGAGTACTTTCCATCCGACAAAATAAAAATCGAAACCTAATTTGCAACATTTGATATCACACGGGTCCATTACCTGTGAACTACGGAAAGTAGATCAAAGATCTGAACATGTCATTTTTAGATATATATATAGGACATGACTCAAATAGAAAAGTTTCTCACAAGATGTTTCTTAATATCGACGAACATTTAAAGTAAGGTTAATACAATGAAAAACCTCAAACTAGTACACCCGTAACAAATTTATCCCAAACTAATTTTTTGACCACAAAAAACCTCAAAGCTAGTATACTTGCGACAAATTTACCATCTGTTAAATTGAATTAATACCACAAAAAACAAAAAATCTAACCACATATGACAAACGGAGCGTAAAACCCCAAATCGATACACTCGCCAACTGTCACGTGTCATCCAGCTCAGAAATTTGACAAAAAAATTTAACGGAAATTAACATAGGGTAAAATCGTCACAAACGTACCGGTTTGAGGTTTTTTGTTGTGAAAAAATTAGTTTTGGATCAATTTATCATAAGTGTACTAATTTAGGGTTTTCTGTGGAATTAACCCTTTCAGGTACGAGACCCGAAAAACAAATTACTTCAAAAAATTTCATAACCTCTTAGCCTATTTATTATGGAAAATTACGAACTCCAACCATTCTAAATTAAAAAGAAAAGAAGAAGAAGACAAATCTATCAATGGCATAGAAATGCATAAAAACATAATTAAGGAGCCCCAATCTCGATGATTTTTTCCTCGTCAAGCACCGCCTCCAGACCCTAAAAGTCAGCGGCCGGCGTTTGAATATTAGCGACGAGCGCCCTCCCACCCATCTCTCCATTGTAAACCCTAAAAACGCAAATAAAAATAATTTGTATCATTTATAGAATATATAAATATAAATGTAAAAATCAGCCCTAGCCGAAGCAGGCAAGAAATCAGGCCTCAAAATTTCGAAGGAGGCGGGGGTCAATCGAAGATTAGTTGGCGTGCGGCGTGGGCGCACCCACGCGTGTCTCACGGGTCGTGCCGGACTCAACTCCCTCCCCCCCCCCCCTACGCGGTCCCCATTGTTTGCCCTAGAATATTAGTGAATCCAACTCGGCATCGCCGTTTTGTAGAAAAAAATTACCCGATCAGTTCCAAAATTATTGTATAGACGCCGATTCAGTCCAGAAATTTTTCAAATTTTTTTTTTTCAATTTAGTCTTAAACCTTTGCGCGAAATTCCTATACAGTCATTTCGGTCAATTTTCGTAAAAAAGTCGCTAACTTTGTGGCTGTCCTACGCAGCACATTGCCACGTTGGTAATTTACGGCGAAAATCCGCCGGAAGGACTATATTGGAATTCCACGTGAAAGTTTGGGACTAAGCTGGCAAAATCGAAAAGTTCGGGGGACTAAATCAACATCCGTATGATAAGTTTGGAATTAATAGGACAATTTTCCCTCTTTCGAAAATTAGCAGACGCGCACCTGGTCTTCGGCAGGCCTTCAGCCCCTTTTGGTTCAGCATTTGAAATAAGCATTGGGGCTCTAAAGTACCTTGGCCAAATGCAAATGGTGTTTAGCAATTTTTTTGGAGCACTTTGGGGAAATGCAATTGCATTTCCAAAGGCCTCTATAAAGTCCCTTAGCCCAAGACAGGCCTGAAGGCACTTTGGCAAGTTGCATTTTCGGAATGCTAGTAGCACTCTTCATGGACTGTTCCTCTTACCCGAGGATCTGATCCGGAGGCCAGCGACAGACGCCTAAAGGGTCGCGTGACCCTGGCCACCGCCGCCTGGGGGTCGCCCTACGTTGGCCGACAGCCATCCAGATCTGACCGCCGACCAACCGCCAACGGTATTTAGCCCAAAATTGCTTTCAAACGTGATTTTAAAATACATGTCAACAGACACTAATTGCATTTCGAAAAACCCATCTAACCCAAAAACCTTTCTATTTTGCCAAAGACATTCGTAGCCAACCCTATGGCTATGGATTGTCTACTAAGCAATGGTGGGGCTCTTCTATGTGGAAATTTCCTCATATTTTGATGTATTGCTTATTGAGTAGATTAAGGTAAGGACTCGCATTAAATAAATCAACAAGTTGGTCCTGCTTGGGGTTGACTGCAGGGGAGCAAGGACAAGAGTTGGACCACCATCCTTCATTTCTTTTTTTCCCTTTTTCACTGACTGTTGTCCTTGGCGACAACTTATATTGATTTTATTTCACCGAGACAAGGGAGGGGAAAAGCAGGAAAACGAAAACCCTTCTCGAAAAGCACCAAAAGTGAATCATCCTGCAGGATCTTTGCACTAGATCTACCTATTCGTCTTACATTAGTAAAGAACTCCCGTGGGTACACATCAAGCTCATGAATCAAGTTCGAACGCACCGATTACGCATCCTACGAGACAGTCGGTAGTCCATTTGGCCACGACAATCTTTCAAATGAGACGCGGGAGCGTAATCGTGATCGTGATCGTGACCGTGACTTACTACCATCTCAAAGGGTTTTTTTTTCCGCTTTCAGTCTGCCGGGTCTATCGGTTCGTCTCATCGCGGTCTGAACGTCACCTCGCGCATCCTCGCCGAGTTGCTGCTCATGAAGTCCACCAAGGTGGGAAATGCTTCCCCTATCGACTCCACCCTTATCCCATGGGAAAGCGAACTTATTCACGGTGCCATTTCTATTCACCTTCCATTACCAAGCATGTGCAGAAAGGTAAGGTGTGAACCGAGCGTGCATTGCATTTTCATTCGAGGGCTCGTGTTGTGGTGGGTGACAGAAGTGACTGGCGTGGCTCGAGATGCTTTTCGTTGGGCACCTGAAACTTTTTCGCTTTGGTATGGCGAGTTGGCAAGCAGAGACCCCCACGCGTTAATGGAGGCAAGGCAACGAAGCATTGTCTTTCGTTGTCGGTGGTGGCGTGTGAAGTGAAGGTGTTGGATTTTCATATTGGGAACAAGGGTTGGTCGTCAACCAAAGTCCTCCGAAACCCTAATCAAGAAAACCAAGAATAGCCAACGAGTCTTGTGGATTAAAACTTGGGAGCTCAAGAAGCATGCCCCCCACACATGCAAATCAACTGCCAAGAAAGGAGGAACATTCGAAACGTTAATAGAGAAATGATGAAGTAACTGTCATTAATCCACTGTGAAATTCATAGCTTATTCTGAGCCACAGAAAAACACGTGACAAATAATTAGAAATTGCCGTCCTTTAAAAACTTGTGACCCACAACATAGCGTTACTTTCGCAGTGACTTAAAAACCGTTATGCTAGCAAAGCTCGTGTTAATATTATATTTAATGAGTCCTAATAAGTGCGATGAGGATACTTATTAACATTTCCTTGCTTTAAATTAATATAGACTGTGTTCGTATCGTGCTACGAGTACCTCGTGTAAGAATAAGTTTCCTCGTTGATGATGTCTATGATAATGCCGGTTTAGGCTAAGTTTAGCTGCTCCTCCCGGATGCTCGTAGGCGGTATTGATTTGTTGACGGCTTTTATTGTATATTTGTTCACTCAATCACA